GCCCACAGTCAGCCTGGGTGAATTATAGAATCATACTCATAAAGTGGGAAGGGACCTCCAGGGTCATCTAGTCCAACCCCCTGCACAATGCAGGAAATTCACCAATTCCCCCCCCCACACCCCAGTGACCCCTGTTCCACGCCCAGATTATGATAAAAAAAACCCTCCAGGATCACTGGGGGCCAAACTGGCCTGGAGAAAAATTGCTTCCTGGCCCCAAAGTGGCGATCAGCATTTCCCTGGGCGTGTAAGAAAGGGCCACAAGAACTAAGCACTGATGCAACCCTTCCTGCTCTACCTCTCGTGATTTGCCTAAGTTCACACAATCAGCATTATGTAGGGTTGCCAAATAATTCTTCGCTGGGAGTGGGGGGCTCCCAGCCAGTGTCGGGTGAGTGCGCGCGCACACATCACCTGGAGGTGACGTAGGCACGCTGGGCACACTGGGGGTGGGGCCACGGCCATACAAGGGAAAACCATAGAGTTTCCCCTTGTATGGCTGTGGCCCCGCCCCCAGCGTGCCCGGCGTCATAACGTCACTTCCCTGTGACGTGCATGCTTGGGTGGGGTTCCCCTTGGGGCCCGATTCCCCGGTGTCGGGGAATGGGCCTCTGGGGCAGTGGGATTTGGCAGCCCTACCTACACTATGTGATACTAACCCCTCCCCCAATGCTGCGTTATTTCTCTGTTGTGTGATACACTACAGATGGCTGTGAGGTCTAACCAGGAGGGTAAGGCTGCTAAGAACCAACGGCCTAACAAACACGCGGGATTGTTCCCTACCCAAAGAAGAAATTAGCGTCTGTTCTTTTGGAAGCAGATGTGTAATGGGAGCTCTGCAGAGAAATACAGCTCCCTCACCGTACGGACTCAGCGGGGGCTCGGTGGTCTATCGGTTTGCAGAATTACCAAATAGCAAACACGAGTTTCCTGGGACCGAGGCCCGGCTCGGAAGGAATCGGAGCTCACTCAAGCAGCCCCGAAGAGTCGGAGCCAAATCCGTGCTTCGAGTCGACAGGATTTATTTTCTTTAGCCTTCTGCTTCCGTTGGCTCAGACGTTGTTTGTATATGTCGAACCGAGGAGGGGGATTTTTTTCGCCGCAACTTAAAGATGAACAGATGTCTTGGGTTCTGAATGAGAAGCGTCGAAGTCGGGAAGCGGTAAGGATAGGAGGATATTTCAGCACTGGAGGTTCATTGTTAGGGCGGGGGGTTGCCCGCTTTTAGGACCCCTGATCCACTGGCCCGGATCAGGCCAGCGGGCGGAACCCCGCCTTCAAAATGGCGCGTTTGTGCCAACGTGCCCGGCGCAATGATGTCACCTGGAATTTTTTTTGAGGGGACAGTCTATCATTCGAGGAGAAACTCTATGGTTTTTCCTTGGACAATAGAGGGCCCGCCCACAACGTGCCCTGCACGATGATGTCACTTCCAGGTGATGTCATCACAGCGCACACCCAAAGCGTGCACGCCAAAGAGATCCCGGTGAAGGAGGGGGGACCCCCCCCCTGCTGGCAGCCAGGTAAAACCTGGCAACCCTGTTCATTGTCAAGCCACAAACATGTGGTTGTGGTTGTTGTTAGGATGACCTACCTCCAGGTGGGGCCTGGAGATCTCAAAGAATTACAACTGATGTCTGCAGGGCTCTTTTCGTAGAAAAAGCCCAGCAGGAACTCATTAGCATAATAGGCCACACCCAACAGCAAAAACCCATTAGCATATTAGGCCACACCCCTGCCAGCACAGCTCATTAGCACATTAGGACGCACCCCCATGTTACCAGAAGTGTGGTCATCCAGCCACACCCACCTTTTGCTTGTTATTCTGTGTGTGATCAAATGCAACTGCGGGTGAGGGGTTTTTTGTGTGCCGTTTGTTTCCCATGCGCTTAAATGAGGAATCGATAAATCACACGTCTGCACTGAGGGCTCCCTATGGAGTTTGCGATGATGCACATACAACACGAAGTCGGGATGCCCCGATCAGACCACCCCGACAGCATGAGAGCGCACTGGAGCGATCAGACATCGGTAGGTCCATCTGTGGCTTGTCGCAACCCATTTACTAGCGGATTTCCCCCAGTGTCTTTAGCCCTTATCTCCTCCATTGTTGTATATGGTGGGGAAAAAGTAACTTTTTCCCCACCATAGAGAACAATGGAGGGGATAGGGGCAACCTGTTTGAGTGCCCGTAGAATTGGACCCCCTGGTCCAATGTTTTTCAGACTTGGTTGGTATTTTGGGGAGAGGCTCTAGCAGCTACCTTACGAGTTTGGAGCCACTCCCTCAAACCCCCTCCTCTCCAGCCCCCAGAATATACCCTATGTTTTCACCATTGACTTCAATGGCACATAGGATATAATAGGGCCGAAATTGACATTCGGCTGGCCCTTTTTCAGGCCCGACGTTCTACCGGGAAGCCTGAAAAAGGAGGGGGGGGCATGTGCAGGCCGTTTTTCAGGCCTGGTGCTCCGGCGCGGAGCCTGAAAAAGCCAGCCATAACTTTTTTAAGAGCCCCTCCCGAGAGCTGGGGGAGCCAGAATGACCTCTCGCATGTGATGTCCAAGTGGCGTTGCCGCTCGGACATCACATGCGAGAGGAGGAATTTGCCCCTACCAGTCCAAGGCCACCACCCCGGAGCTCAGGGAGGCAAGGGAACGTTTCGCCCCTCCCCCCGCTTGTGGGTGTCGCAGCTGCCGCCAAAAACAGCGATGGTGGCCATAATTTTTTAAAGAGCCCCCCCAAGAGCTGGGGGAGCCAGAATGACCTCTCGCATGTTATGTCTGAGCGGCGTTGCCGCTCGGACATCACACGTGAGAGGCGGAATTTGCCCCTACGAGTCCAAGGCACCCGGCGTTGCCGCTCGGACATCACACGTGAGAGGTGGAATTTGCCCCTACGAGTCCAAGGCCACCACCCCGGAGCTCAGGGAGGCAAGGGAACGTTTCGCCCCTCCCCCCGCTTGTGGGCGTCGCAGCTGCCGCCAAAAACAGCGATGGTGGCCATAATTTTTTTAAGAGCCCCTCCCAAGAGCTGGGGGAGCCAGAATGACCTCTCGCATGTTATGTCTGAGCGGCGTTGCCGCTCGGACATCACACGTGAGAGGCGGAATTTGCCCTTACGAGTCCAAGGCCACCACCCCGGGGCTCAGGGAGGCATGGGAACGCTTCACCCCACCCCTCCCCCCCGTGCGTGGGCGTCACAGCTGCCGCCATAACTTTTTAAGGAGCCGGGAAGGAGAGCTGGGGGAGCCAGAATAACGTGTCGCGTGAGAGGTGGAATTTGCCCCTATGAATCCAAGGCCACCACCCCGGGGCTCAGGCAGGTGGGGGGATGTTTCGTGCCCCCCCACCGTGTCCCAACTGATGGCTGGTGGGAGCAGGGGGCGGGGTTTATGTGCCCGCCCCCTGGGCTCCTGACTGGCGGAGCAGTGCTTCCAGCAGGAACCGAGGCCTGGGCCCAGCACTCCTGCAGTTTACTAGCAGGGAAGTTAGACTGTCTCTTCTATTTTCCTGCTTGTCTGAGGGCTTCTGTGTTAGACTTTCAAAGAAGCAGTAGGCAACACTCACTCCCTGACATTATGTGGCTGGCTCAGTCACTTGGTGCAGTCATTTTGTGGCTGCACCCACCACCCTGTGTCAGAACTCCAAATGGGCCTGCAGGGGAACCCAACCCTGCTCTAGAATATACACTAAAATTAACGTGGAAAGACAAGTCTGATCCTAAACATAAATCTTGCTGAGCTCATTGGAGGAAGGGTAAGGTAAAAATGAAATAGACACAATTGGAAGAAGGGTAAGGTAAAAATGAAATAGACACACAAGTAGGCCATGGACACTTTCTTACTATATGCATACACAGGATTCCCCACCCTGCTTTGAACATTCAAAATAAAATGCTGCTGCTTCTTTTTTCTTTCTTTTTGTTTTTGCATCTATCTTGATGAGTGGGAGCTATTTTTTCTTTTGCTGCTGCTTCTACCAGGACACAAAGCTGACTCATTCAGCAAAGTACTGTACAGGATGCTTCTGATAAGTACATGTAACAGATGAACAACAGCCAGGGACACAAAAAAGTTCTAGTGTCACTATCTGAAAAGAGGACAGGACTGCATATTTCCTGAATGTTAGATATCCTCACAAGAGAGCAACTGAAGAATTTTTTAAAATTGCTTTAACTTCTAGAAATGTTCTTACAGTGATTTTAATTGATATTACTATGTGTTTTCAAAGTTATTTCTAAGACTGCTTATATTTTTAATGTAAAGGTAATTTGTTTTATGCTTGAGACTTAGAATCTTGTCAGGAACTGATGTGCTGAATGTTTCTCATACTTGATCTCAGTAATCCTTGCAACAATCCTGCGAGGTAAGTAAGCGTTATTTTTCCAAATGGACTTACAAAAATATAACTGTTTAGGATTTCATTATTAGCAAGTTCATGACAGGGCTGAAATTTGAACCACAACAGCCTGGAACCACTTAGCCATTACAATGCACTAACTTATCTGAGGGTGCAACATCTGTAACTATATGCCTGGCACTGCAGAGATCTGGAAGACGTCTCTGTCTAGAAGGCTCCAATACACACACTTGTTCTGTTGCTGGATTGTACCGCTTTTATTGCATGATTTGCATTTATCAATTTTGTGCTAGACAGAACGGGACAGAAATGTTTTAAAATTAATCGTCCATGGGGGCGGGGGGAGTTTAGAAGCATCAGCACAATCTTTGGCCATCCATCTAATGCTCCTACACCTTCAGTCTCGAAAGCAAACCAGGCTGACCCCCGATAAACTCCTAGGTCAACTGTCTGGAGCTAAGCAGTACACCACCAACACACGCCCGCTCAGATATCTCCAGCTTCGCCCGCTATCTGGGCAGGCTGCAACAGATTGGTCGTTTCAACCGTCAGTAATGCTTGTGGGCGGTGGAAATAACACATTCCCAAGGAAGCCTCTCTGTTGCGTCATCTTCAGGCGACAGGACGCGAAGGGCGGCGATGTGGTCCTGATCTCGGTGAACGGTAATTTGTTCGGGCCGGCCGTTACGGCCTCCCTTGCCGAAGCGGGACAGCCGGGTACGAATACGGCGGAGATGTCAGCTCCATTGGAGGACCCGACAGCAAAGCCGACCTTAGAAATTTTGGAAGGCTGCCTCCGCTCGCTGCCTAAGTTGGTGGGGCAGGTCAGTGATAACAGACAACGAAAGGAGGCTCCTTGGGAAATAAGCAGCTGGGCGGCTGGAGGAGGGGGCCGCGGCTATTGCTGTGAAGATATTGGGGGGAGGAACGAAAGGCAGCGGGGCAGGTGGCTGGGGTCAGCAGAGGAGGCTAGTTTACTGGGGCCTCAAGCGCGAGCCCAAGTTATCTTCTAAGGGGAGGCAGCAGTATAAGGGTTGTTCTCGGGAAAGTTTCTCTATCCTCCTGCTCCGAAGCTTTGAGTCTCACGCTCAGGTTCTATTTCGGAGTCTTGAGTCTGAAATGTAAGAGTAAGAAAAGAAAGAAAAAACGCACCCAGGAAAGCTGGTGTCCCAGTAAATCTGTCCTTAAGGTGCCTCAAGAGTCTTTTTGCTGTTCCTTGTTTAGCTGTAACTTGGCTATCGCTTTGGGATTTGTGTAAACAAATACCTACTGGGATTAGCAGTCTCCTAAATTTTGATTCTAAGCACACAACATGGAAGCCAGTGCCACTGATGTCAGTGGTGATGATTTCTCCAACAGGAGTTCACAGATTATTAGTGCCATCCTGAACAGATACACACTTCTAAAGCCATTGACTTCAGTGGGTTTAGAAGAATGTAACTCTGTTTAGGACAACAAGTAAATGAATGTTCCATTGAAATCAAGGGGATTCATTTTCAAGTGAGGTGATTTGTATTTGGGTGTTAATCATTATGCTACTTCGTGTTTGATTTAAGCCAGTGATACGCACTGGAGCTACGTGTGGCTCTTCTGAGCACCATTCCTCATTGTGACACCCATCCTATGTTTCAGAAAAGCAGGCAAGGCCCTTGCCTGGTGGAGACTATGGTTGGCATTTGGCTCCCAACTTGAAACAGCTGCCACCACAGGAATATAGAAAAGCTTTGAGCCTCCCTGAGGTACAGGCCTCATACTAGGGATGAAAGGAAAAATCGTTCTTTCAGCTGATGGTAATTGCAAATGTGGCTGTCTGTGTTCCACAGAGTGAGTACCACTGGTTTTATACTGTGGTCATGGGTGCATTTGCTACCTTGTTCTTTTTGTGTTAATGGAATAACTCTTTCTAAGGTAACATATTACTAAAGTTGTGAAATTAATACAGGGCTCTTACCCCGAGCCTGGTTTCCTTTAACCTTGTCATTATTGTGAACTGTATTGTATTGCGACACTGGGGCTGTCAAATGGTGGTGGAAAGTGCCATCAAGTCACAGCGAATTTATGGTGACCCTGTAGGGTTTTCAAGGCAAGAGGTGTTCAGAGGTGGTTTGCTATTGCCCACGTTTACATAGTGACCCTAGATTCCCTTGGTGGTCTCCCAGCCAAATACTAACCAGGGCTGACCCTGCTTAGCTTCTGAGATCTGACAAGATTAGACTAGCTGGGAGCAGGCTATCAAATACACAAATGCTTTATCAGAATATAAAGCAATTGTTAGTATAGATATTTGAATTTTTTTGCAGACTGTAATTAGGAAAGGAAAATTTCATGCAGATCTCAACATTTACACAAGTAGCTTCAAGATTTCTTTAAAAATATGCTTGAAAGTATACATCCCGCATTTGGAAAGGGATAAAAATCATTTACTTTAAGGATTAGATTATGATGGCACTCTACAAAAAGCAATGCCATTAAACTTGGCAAAGTGTGGCAAATGTGGTTCCATCCTCAAAATTTTCCAGTGCATCCTCAAGCCTTTACATGTCTTTCAATTAAAGATAAGCACATATTGATCCAAAGTAGGTTTGCCTCTAGCGACATTGCTGGTAAGATAGAAGAGCTGGTAAAGTATATACACTCTACAAGCTCTTGTCCAAACTTCAAAAAGTAAGTTGAAAAGTCAGAGAGGATGAAAACAGAAAAAGACAGAACCTTTTACAAGGCGGAAGAGGATTTCTTACAGTGACAGATAATTAAGAGATTGTGTAGTTTTGAGAAGTGATTTAATCAAAGGACTGAGGAGGAAGAATTGGTAACAATGGGTAAACAGTCTGCCAAACACATCTAGTGGGTGGGCATCAGACACATGAAAACTACATTTAGATCTAGGATCTCCTGAACTCTACCTTGGATTTTTGTGGCCTTGGCTGTATTTTATATATACAGAGAGCAATCCTAAGCAGGTCTGTTCACAAGTAGGTCCCATGTGTAGCTTACTCTATGGAGAGGTTTCCTAGGTCTGCAGCCACAATCTCCCATCCATAAAATGGCATTATAAATATTATGTGTATGTAAAGAGTGGGGATTAAAAGTACATTAATAAGTAACATGAGGGTCTGGGGAAGAAAGATTACTGACGTGTTTGATTAAAAGCATGGCTACTTCCCTATGCAGGCTCTTAAAATTGAACATTTGAGACTGAAATGGAAAAATTCTCCATGAAGTAAAGAGCATGCCTTGAAGAATTTTCTTTGCATCTAGGAGACAGAGTAACTTTTCATCCTTCAGGGTTTTGTCTTTTTATGACCAAATTTTCTAATTATTGCTACCATAAAACCTAATCCCAAACTCTTCTCAGTGTCTCATAGTTTTTTTTAAGCTATGCTAAAAGTGTTCTAATACAGGAGGTAACCCTGGTTGTCATTACCATGACAACCAACCAACCTCTGAACCTAGCCTAACTTCTTCCCAATTTCTCATAATTCTAGTATTGCTTTTAAGAAGCTCCATTTCATTGAATATCAGAGGCACTAGAGAAATACCAGGTTAAGAACTTAATTCATCCACCATCACTGAATGGTGTAAAATTATGTTTACGTATAAACAAGCAGTGATATAAACTTTGTGGACCTTTAGTTTTATGTCATACAACAAAACATTCTGATGTGAAATGATAAATAAGCTTTTGGTTGGGTTCAGCCAGCTTTTTTGCTCAGTCTCAGCCAATTCCTCATAGCCTTTTTTGTGGTCAAAGGGGGACCTCTTCCTGCCTTTTTCACCAGTGGAAAAACTGGCTGCATCTAACCCTTTGTACTCTGTCACGGCTCAGGTGGGTTGTCTGACGCTGCCACCACTCTGGATTTAGGTTCCCTTGAGCACCCTCCCAAGACCTTCAGACCTCCCTTTTGGCCGAATAACAGGCATGAGGACCAGGCAGAGTGAAACAAGGAAAAGGTTTATTTTATAGGAGGTCAAACAACAAGGGCCCCGGTCACACGAGTGAGAAAATCTGCACTGGAAAGAAGGCATTTTAGAGGCGGAGCTAAAAGAAGCACAGGAGCGTGATCAAATCAAATGCCCTAATGCGTCTAAATATATACTGTCCCTAGCTCACTATTCCAAGTGACACTAGACTACTCACCCTTCCCTCAGGATGAGGGTTTCTTCCTGTAGCAGCCTTCCTTCTGGCTCTGCCCTCTGGAAGAAAGAACAGCTTTTCCTGCTGCTCCAGATCTTTTATTCTAAGCCCTCTTCTTTTCCTATTGGTCAATTTTGGCACCAAAACCTCTCAGGGGTTTCGGGGAGTTGTAGGCCCAGCCTCACCTACTGCTAGCGACGCTCCCTGGGCCTAGTAGGCCTCTGGTGGCACAGCCCAGATGATGGCATACTCTTGCAGAGTTTTGTTGCCTTTTGGGTCTGGGTCTGGAATGTGTGTCTGTTTAAAATAACAGTATCAGAAACCTAACATGATATATTGTACAGCTATATCTTTGTTGCATACAACACTTTCTGGTGTGTTGGGGTAGAGTGAGGAAATTTTTAATAAAAACAGTAAAATATAGTTAAATATAAACTTGTCAGCTATTTCTGTATAAAGCCTGCATTTGTTTTGCAAGTAGTTTAGATATTTTCTGTTATGTTGAGAAATAACATTACCATTTCCTAAATATTCTTTACATAAAAGTTTTCCAGAGAGCATTAAGGGCATGTTCTAAAACCTTTGAGACGTAATTTTACACTCACTAGATAGCATAATGCTATTTGTATCATTCTCATACTTTATCTTGTGAATAAATAAGAGTAAAACTGTGTATAATTTTTATATACTCGTCTGCATATGCCTGTGTGCTTCTAGAAAGGGGGGGGGGAGATAGGCAGTTGAAGTTGACACTTGCCGTGTTCTCTTGAAAGTGCTAATGATTGTTGGTCTTTGTTGTAAGATGTGGCTACTTGAAGGCTGCAAAATGTGGTTGCTCTTTTCTGCATTTAACTTTAAAGAGCCAATGACTTCTTGAATGTGGAAGACCTAATGAAAATTTGATTAGAAGCAGCCTTTACTCACCATAGATAATTAAGTGAACAGCTAATTAGAAGGCAGGATATACACTTTTTTGAATATACATTTGGGTTCTGAGAAATGATTTGTAATCCTTCTTCAGATAAAAATTTGAGTTATTTTATAGCAAAATTGGAAAATACCCTAAGGCGGGGGTGTCGAACTCATTTGTTATCAGGGCCGGATCTGACATAAATGAGATCTTGTTGGGCTGGGCCATGTGTGTCATAAAATGTAATGCCAGTTAGCAGAGATACACATTTTATAAAGGACCCAAACAATTAAATAAAACATGCTTAAAACATTAGCACTCTTGCAATATTTTGTTTATTCAATGGTCTCTTATAACTGACACCTCTTGCTTTGAATTATTGCATCAAAATCTGGAGACAATGTGTGTCCTGTAGCAATCTTGAGTATGCTGTTCAGGTGTTGTTCAGGTGTGGATGTATAAGTTGCAAACCTACTTTTGGTTTATTGACATTCACTACAGAAATCTCACAGTCAGTGCTTTGAGCCTAAGACCCAGAGGAAAACATGAAATGGCTGGGCATTGTGAGCTTTTGTACATGTTGCTTTGTGTTCTGGTCAAGAACATGTGAAGGCACCATGACACAGGCTGAACTATAGTCTTCCCCAGAGAATAGCTACAACTCCTGTGTGGCAGTGCAAGAATAGAGAGAGCAATGTGTATCTGGGAAGTCTAGGTTCCAAATCCCCAGTCTAGAAAGGAAATGCACTGGGTGAACACTCTCTCTCTCTCTCTCTCTC